CTGAGTTACAATTCAGAAAAATCTAGTTTCTCCCACTGAAGTTGGAATTCTGACTTGGAAAGTCCATGATCCCTGATCAACCTCAAACTCAAAATCAGACATGGCAGCCCTGTGCATTAAATGTTGTGTCAGTGAGGTATATTGACCAGATGTGCTATCACATGACTTTTCATGGCCAGGGAAAGAGGCCATATTGTTCAAGGCGAGGACAAGCTGGTGAAGCTGAATGTGGTAACCAGTATAAAGTTAAATTAAGGTCAGCACATCATTGAAACTCAGTTTGTTATTGAGAAGCATTATTTTGATTKGATTTAAATGTTTGTAAATTCATATTATCACATTAAACAAAAACATGTTGCCAAAGTAAACACATCTGCAACGTAAAAGGCTGAAACTGACCAGTTGAAAACTAATGTTTTAATGCAATTCTACACAGGAATCTAGCCATGATCAAATGTTTACTCTGGCAGCCTGCCCTGAACAATATGAAGTCAGTAAACAGTCAGTAAATCAGGCTTTAATGGCACAATGTTAAGTTGGGTGTGACATCATCCTAAGGTCCAGTTGGACCAATGTGTACCTCGGCATCATGTTTTTACCTGATATGATAAAACTAAATAAAAATAAATAATAAACAATAAACATTTCTATTGAATCAAAATAATGTTTGTCAAAATCAAACTAAGTTTCAACGATGAGCTGATCTAAATTGGACATGTTACCACATTCAKCTTCACCAGCTWACAGAAGTGTTGTCCTCACCCTGAACAACATGGCCACTCTCTATACCATGAAAGTCGTGGTAGTGCTTCTAATCAATATATCTCATTGGCAGCAGCTATTAACATTTTTTGACATCATTGTTGGTCATCATTGTCTGAAGACCTGCAGGAATAAGAATCTCAGACGTCTGACTTTGGAAGACTTYCCAGTTGATTTGTCTGGAACCTGGAATTCTGGTGATTGTAAAAATAATGCATTGCACAAAATATTGTGAGGGAAAAAACCCAAAACTGAAACTTAAATCCACTCAAAAAAGTGCATTTCACAGTAGATTATGTTAAAAAACGTTAGCCAAAAGTTTACCTTCACATCGTTAACGAGGAATTCTTTTGGAGCTGCCAGTGAAACACCATCCACCGCATAAACAGGTTAAGTTAGTCCACCTGGAAAATGTTTTGGTGTGGGCAGAAGTAGAGGTGCAGGGTTGGGCTTTGGAAAATATAATTCACGTTCACTGAGCTGTGCATAAATAAGGTCTTTAATGCCTTAAAAGCCAAACACCTTTAGTCTGTAATCCCCCCAAATTAAATGACCGATTGACAAAAAATCTGTTGGTCAATTCTGCACGAACAGACCTAAAGAACCATGATCCCTGCAGTTTGCTGCAACATTCCTAATTCTGCATGAAGTTTTGTTGACATGACAGAAGTCACAACCACAGGTCATCTGAGGAGGACCGTCCTGAGTAACGTCTGTTCTTCATCTGGACAGATCGTCGGAGAGTGCTCACATCACGAGTTGTTTTCAAGGTCTCTGTCTGAGTCACACACGCCTCAGTGTGTCTCCTGTTTCCATGGAGCATGAAAAGTGAATCAGAGTTAGGGCTCAATAAATGAAAAAATTAAAAAATTTATAAACAATTAATAGAGAAGAGCTCATTTCTATGTTTTAATTTTATTTTGAAAAGCTGTCTGTGTTGTGTCTGTTCTGACAAACTGTCACAGAAAAACACCTGCCCACTGTGTGTGTGTGTGTGTGTGTGTGTGTGTGT